AGTGAATAGCAAAAACAAACAAACAATCTGATTTAAAAATGTAAAAGGGCCCGAATAGATATTTTTGCAAACACTACACACAAATGGCCAACAGGTATATGAATAGATACTCAATATCACTAATCATCAGGGAAATGCAAATCAAAACCACAATAAGATACCACCTCACACCTATTAGAATGGCTATTATCAAAAAGACAAGAGATAAAAAATGTTGGTGAGGATGTGGAGAAAAAGAGAACCTTTCTACATTGTTGATGGGAATGTAAATTGGTACAGTCATTATGGAAAACAGTACGGAGGTTCCCCAATACATTAAAAATATAAGTGCCATATGATCCAACACTTCACTTCTGTGATATATCTGAATGAAATGAAGTCAATATCTCAAAGAGAAATTTTCCCTCCCTTGTTCATTGCAGTATTATTCAGAATAGCCAATACATGAAAACAACCTAATTTTCTGTCAACAGATGAATGGATAAAGAAAATGTGGCATATATATATACAACAGAATTTTATTCAGCCTTATAAAACGAGGAAATCCTGCCATTTGGGCAACATAGATGAACCTGGAGCACATTATGCTAAGGAAAATAAGCCAAAGAGAGAAAGACGAATACTGTATGGTATCACTTACATGTGGAATCTGAAAACAGAAACCAAACACCAAAAAGTAAAACTTATAGAAAGTAAGAGTAAAATGGTGGTTGCCAGGGGCTGGGGGGTGGGGGAAATGGGGAGATATTGGTCAGAATGTACAAACGTTTTGTTATTAGATAAATAAGTTCTGAGGATCTAATGTACTGCATGGTTAGTATAGTTAATAATACTGTATTATATAACTGAAGTTTGCTAGGAGAGTAGATCTTAAGCATTCTCACAAAAAAAATAAATAAACGAAATGGTAACTATGTGAGGTGAGAGATGTGTTATCTTGATTGTAGTAATCATTTCACAATGTATACATATATCAATTCATCACATAACACTCTTTAAATACATACAATTTATTTGTCAATTAGATCTCAATAAAAAATTTTAAAAATAATGAAAGTAAATTATAACAAAAGAATTCATCATTCTTCTGGGACTTAGAAGTCTTCTCTTTAAATCTGTGGTGAATAAGTGTGTGTGTGTGTTCATGTATGGTGCGCACACGTGTGTATTTGTTGTTTGGAGGTCTGTTCAAATGGTTTAGGGTTGTTCTTACAAAAAGTTACTCTAGGTATCCTTTTTTGTTTTTCCGAGATTTATTGAGATACAGTTTATGTATGGTATTGTGTAAGTTTCAGATTTACATTGTGATTATTTGATACACTTATATATTGCGAAGTATTTACCAGAATAAGGTTAGTTAACACATATTTACCTCACATAAGTAACATCCTTTTAAAGCCTTAGTTTTTGATCATTAAATATATTGAGCCTCACAGGAACCAACTTTTGTTGCCCCTCTTAAACTTCACTCCATTATCAATGTTTGCTCTTAGAGAAGATCTTACTCATTAAAAGTTAGAATCCCAGTAATAAATCACCAGGAACTTTCATAGAAATGGAAGGGAGAGGCCATGGAAAATTTATCTTATCTCAAGGACTCCAGTTGGTTAGCTGGTTGCCTATGTTCCATGAAGTCAGAGTCTCCACAATGAAGAGATAACATCAATAGGCAGAAACTACCAGACATTGCAACACATAACCAACTCACTCCCATGAACATAAAGAGGGAGAGTTCAATACACTTTGAGTGAGAATTATTGACAGCAATGCTGTAGATGTTGCTAGAAATATTTAATATGTAGCACATGGTTTAAAGAAATGGAAGTAAATACTTTGAAAATAAAGTCTTGGAAAAAAGAAAAGGATTTAATTCTCTAAAGACCTACTGAAATTTTATGCACAGGAAAACTTCCTTGTAACCCTCTTAATAATTGTAGGATAAATGTTTTCCTTTTTCTTTTTAATTATATATACAGAAAATGAGACAGAAGTGATTTTCACATGAGCTATCAGGTGCTCTAACCTTAAACTGTTGTTTATCAAAAATCGCCATCAATAGGGGCCGGCCCGGTGGCATAGTGGTTAGGTTCCGTGCTCCATTTCAGTGGCCCAGCATTTGCAGGTTTGGATCCCGGGCGCATACCAATGCACCGCTTGTCAAGCCATGCTGTGGTAGCATCCCATATAAAGTAGAGGAAGATGGGTACAGATGTTGGCCCAGGGTCAATCTTCATCAGCAAAAAGAGGAGGATTGGCAATGGATGTTAGCTCAGGGCTAATCTTCCTCACAAGAAGAAAAAAAGAATCACCATCAATAGAAAATAAAAGGCATGCAAAAAAATGAAAATAGACTGTTACCTTACACCATACACGAAAATTAACTCAAAATGGATTAAAGACTTGCATGTAAGACCTGAAACTATGAAACTTCTAAAAGAAAACATAGGCAGTACGCTCTTCGACATCAGTCTTAGCAACATATTTTCAAGCACGATGTCTGACTGGGCAAGAGAAACGATAGAAAAAATAAACAAATAGGACTACATCAAACCAAAACTTCTGCACTGCAAAGGAAACCATCAATGAAACAAAAAGACAACCTAACAATTGGGAGAAGATATTTGCAAACCATACATCTGATAAGGGGTTAATATCCAAAATATATAAAGAACTCATGCATCTCAACAAGAAAGAAACTAACAACGCAATTAAAAAATGGGCAAAAGATCTGTACAGATATTTCTCCAAAGAAGATATACAGATGGCCAGCAGGCACATGAAAAGATGTTCAGCATCATTAATTATCAGGGAAATGCAAATCAAAACTACAATGAGATATCACATCATGCCTGTCAGAATGGCTATAATTAACAAGACAGGAAACAATAAGTGTTGGAAAGGATGTGGAGAAAAGGGAACTCTCATACACTGCTGGTGGGAGTGCAAACTGGTGCAGCCACTATGGAAAACAGTATGGAGATTCCTCAAAAAATTAACGCTAGAACTACCATACGATCCAGGTATTCCACTGCTGGGTACTTATCCAAAGAACATGAAAACACCAATGCTAAAGATACATGCACCCCTGTGTTCATTGCAGCGTTATTCACAATAGCCAAGACTTGGAAGCAACCTAAGTGCCCCTCAAGGGAAGAATGGATAAAGAAGATGTGGTATTTATACACAATGGAATACTACTCAGCCATAAGAAACGATGAAATCCAGCCATTTGTGACAACATGGATGGACATTGAGGGTATTATGCAAAGTGAAATAAGTCAGAGCGAGAAGGTCAAATACCGTATGATCTCACTCATTGAGTAGTAGATAATAACAACAACAAACCAACACATAGACAGAGATTGGATTGGTGGTTACCAGAGGGGAAGGGGGGAGGGAGGAGGGTGAAAGGGATAATTAGGCACATGTGTGTGGTGATGGATTGTAATTAGTATTTGGGTAGTGAACATGAGAACATGATGTAATCCATGCACAAATAGAAGTATAATGATGTACACCTGAAATTTATACAATGTTATAAACCAATGTTACCACAATAAACAAAAAAAAAAAAAAGAAAGAAAATAAAAGGCATGCAATACTGAGTAAAGAAAGAGAAATTATATGAAATGATGTGATATGTCATTCAAAAATAAGAACATAAGAAAAAGAGTCAATTAAATATATTTACATGAGGCATAAAGTAACACTTTTAAATGTAACAAATAAAGAGAGTACAAGGCACTTGACGTTAGGAGGAATAAAATAAAAATGCTAAGATCCTGTTCTATTTATTAACAGCAAAAGGAAAATTACAGATATGACTTGAGGACAGTGTGGAGTTCAGCCAAGACACATTGAACTCTTTTCTCTGAAATTTTGGTGGTTTTTTTTTTTTACTCTGCATCTCCATTTAAAATTTTTCTTTTTGGCATGTACACCTGGTGAATTTTCCTCATTCCTCATGACTCAGTGTAAATAATCTTTAAAAAGAGGTCTTTCCTGTTAGCCCCACAGTTCACTGGCTTTTCCCCCAGCACTGCGGTTAGAAGTCAGCATGTACTTTCTCCCGTGTTAGATTATGAAGTTTCTGTGGATAGTTAATGTTTCATGCATGGTCCAAAAAAATTCTTTCATGTCTGTCAAAAAACGTGTGGGAAGTTGAAATGAAATGTGCAATGAAAAAAATTAAAGTTTTGGATCATAGAAAGTAGAATTCACAACAAGGTAAGAAGGATTAGTTTTTAGGGAAAGACTTCAGGGAGAAGATGACAACTGACCTGAAGGTGCAATATTTATACTAAATACATGCTCAAGAAAGGCATTAGTTGAGTAAATTCACGGGATTGAGGGAATATAGTGATATTTTGAAAACACTGCTATTTGACAAAAGTATCATGACTTATCACCTTACAGATGGAGAGCTGAATCATGTTTCATAATATCTTGGAAACATTCAGGAAATTAGAATCAATAAGGACCTTTCCTCTGAAGTTTCACTATTCGTTGAATTTAACTATATTTACCAAGTTATGGAAAGATTCTCTGCCATTAGTGAAATGGGTATTTTGAAGTAGACAAAGCTTGAGTAAAGGGTAACCAAAGAGGATGCTATGACATTTGATTAACAAAGAAAAAAAAAATTTGTCAATTATTATAAGGGAAGTTAACATTGAAATATGGAGGCTATGTGAAATTATGGAGTAAGAAAATCTGCCTTGAAATTTTAATTCCACTTTTCTCAAGTGAAATTTGCATGTTGTTAGAATTAAATTATGAATATGTAAAAATATTCAATAAAAAAGTGTAATTCGTTAACGTTAGTCATGAAAAGGAAGGTTACCATAGAGTGCTGTCAGAGAAGGGTGACCCAATATATTTCTCCAATATATTTCTAATGATTCTGACACCAAGTTATACTTATTTGTGGCTAATTAAGTTATTTATGTTACTAGCCTTAGAGAGTGTAGTAAGGTATGCAAATTCTCTCTACAGGCATTTCAAGAGAGTATCTTTTGCCTTTGGGACACTGCCAATCTCTCTAAGACTCTTTTCAAGGCTCCTTTCACCTCCTTGTTCCTCAGACTATAGATTAGTGGGTTCAAAGCAGGATTGATAACTGCATAGAACAAGGAGATGAATTTATCACCCTGAGCTGAATATAGAGATTTGGGCCTCATGTGCATAAACATCCCTGTCCCATAATAAATGGTCACCACAGTCAGGTGGGAGCTGCAAGTAGAGAAAGCCTTTTTCCTACCCTCAGCTGAGTGCATCCTCATCACAGCAACCAGTATGCATAGATAGGAGAGAGTAATGAGGAGGAAGGGGAGCAAGAGGATGCCAGATGCTCCTATCACCATGATGGTCTCCTGTAGGGAGGTATCAGCACAAATCATATGAAGAAGAACAGGTACTTCACAAAAAATGTGATCGATAACATAAGGGCCACAGAAGGGAACTATTGTGAAATGGAGAGGTACCACTGAGGCAAAGAAGCTGACAGTCCAAGCCCCCACAGCCAGCTGCACACACATAGACCAGTTCATGATGAGCAGGTATCGTAGAGGGTAACAAATGGCCACATAACGGTCCAGAGCCATGATTGCCAAAATAATGCACTCAGCTGCTCCCATTAACAGGGAGATGTAGGTCTGGGCAAGGCAGAATTCATAAGAGATGACTTTCTTGAGAGCAAGGAGGTTGAAGAGCATCTTGGGGACCACAGCTGTGGTGTAAAATATGTTGAGAAAGCCCAGGTGGCAAAGGAAAAAGTACATGGGTGTCTGGAGACAGGAGTCAATTACCACCAAAACAATAATTGCTGTGTTTCCAAAGAGATTCACCAGGTAGACCAGAGAGAAGAGGAGGAAGAGGGGGATCTCAGCCCGGGAGTGATTGGAAAATCCAACAAGGACCAGCTCGGTGATGGTGCTGGAATTTTTCTGAGCCATGTCGGGTTCCAGCATTAAACTGACGATATGAACAGAAGAAGAAATGTCCCTTGAGGACATAGAATCGTGGTGAAATAACAGACACTAATTCTTTAGCATCATCAAATGGTATTCAGTAACTTGCCAGACTAAATTAGCTTTTTTTTTGAAAACTCACTTTACTAAAGTTTGAGAAATACTATCACATATTAGAATAAAACTAATTCCCATTCTAATTCCAAAAGTATCCATAAACACACACGCAAACACATGTGCACATATACACATGCATGCAAATACACAAACACACAAAATAAATTTTTTATATTGATTCCATACAATCTTGCTAAAGTGTACAATGTGAGTTTTTAAGAAGAGATAGTTATTTGTTTTTAACAACATATTTGCCTATTTAAAGTATGGGAGCTCTTAAGAGAAACCCTTAGAATTTGCTAAGATGATTGTGATAAAAAAAAATATGAAACAGCCATTCTAAGATGTCTTATATGAAGTCAGAGGACTTTAGTGAGTTTGTCAAATTTGCAAGATGAATAAGGGGCAGAGATGGACATAGAATTCATATAGTTATGATAATCTGATCTGCCTCCCCACATGCTTGCCACTATTTATGTTTCCATTCAGAGATGAGAGACTCATTTGGATGCACACATTTGTTCACTTACAGGGTTATGTTGTGTATGCTTTGAGATTTAGAAGAAAATGCATGTACACAGTAGTTTAGACTCATTTATGACCCAATCTCCAATACCAAGACACAAATAATGCTCATAGTATGAGGAATAAGCTCTTCCACTTATTTTGATCTTCCCCACTTTACATCTTTAAAGCACAAATCTCAGGCAGGAATACAAACTTTCTACCTCAAATAATGGGCTCTACAGTCTCTTCCAAATAATGTGTAAGAAATTGATTTTTTTCTTTAATAAACCCTCTGTCCTCTCTCTTTAGAGTTGTGTAAATAGAGACCATGTTGCTGGACCAGCATACACCCGATACTCACTGTGTTTTAATGTATTCACCCTTGGTTCTTCCAAATTGTGTTTTTAAATGTGGAAATTTATAAACCGATGAATAATTATGGCAGAATAAGGTAAACGAAGTCTTGGGAAATCATTTAATCTTGAAATACAATAAGAACCGTACTAACGATATGTCTCATAGTATCTTAATTGGATTAATTCATATGATTTACACAGTAACCCTGTGAGATGGGATCTATGTTTATCCTCATTCTGCAATGAAAAACTATGCTACAAAGAGTATAATCCTTACCAAGCTTATGTGACCAAGTAATGATGAGGTTAGGAGTCAAAGCAAAAGAGAGTGGTCCTGATTCATACTTTTAACCCATAGGTTTCTTGATTCTCAGAAACTCGTACTACTCAGATGAACACTAAGGATAACACCATTATTGTTGACTCTTCTGTCTCATCATTCTTTAATACTTGCGGGCACTCATTTATATACAGGAAGTAAAATTTCTAGAAATGGCAATCATATACCTTTCATTTTAGCCACACATCTAAGCATCCATTTCTCAGGATCAACAAGAAGAAAATAATAATATATGGTCTCACCCTTATGAAAGGAAGAAAATTCAGAGTCTTGTCCAAAATCTGGGAAGAAAATTACCATTTGGAGATTGTAGTCTGTCCTGACTGCTAATAAAAGACATTTTGTAAAGATGATAACTTGAGTCATTAAAGAGAAGGAATAAAAAAATTACATGAAGATCTATTTCTTAATCAGTCCAATTCACCTATATTTCATTATTCAGAATAGTCTTGATGTCCTGATTTCACCAGTCTCCGCAGAAACTGCACTGAGGAGAGGAATATGCCCTGGCTCTCACTGGAGTTGGTAATGCCTAGGCTACATTTTCTCTGCCTCACATTTGAACCACCTTTGCTGACTGTTTCCTCTTCTGCAATAAGGTAGAGGAATGAGATAAGATGATGTGGAAACAGATGTAAATCCTTGTGTGTTACACAGAGTTCAGGATAGGTAACACATCTCTGTATTTCAAGGCATTAACAAGAGATTGAGTTCCCAATCCCTGGGGAACCTTGTTAGCACTATGTGCTGGGTATACAGGAGGGAGAGGAAGGGGGAGAGAAAACAGAATTAGGTGCTGCTCAGATGAGGAAAAGCTAACTTTCTAATCCAAGGGACTATGTATACGTGACTGAATTCCATTCCTTTGTCTATAGCCTATTTATCTCAAGTGTATGAAAGAAAGCTAACATTTTGCTGTTTTCATGAGCTTGACTGCTACCCTATATTTACTCTAGAAAGATAAATTCTGCACCTAGGCAGCATTTCAACTAATGGCATGCACTGGTGTTTTCAAGCAGATGACAGACACAGTCTTAGACAAACTTTAGGAAACTGAGCTGAAAAAAATAGTAGATATTTGGTTTTCATGAATGAGAAATAAGCCTTCCTATAGATGAAATGTTTGAGTGAGAAGAAGCTAGATCAAGAAATTGACATGCGGAGGGCTCACAAAATGCAAGGCCCCTTGGTTATCACATGGAGTATCTTGCTGTCCATATATAACCAAAACATCTGTTTATCACAGGATTCTCAGCAGAACTTGTAAATTAATTGGCACACAGGAATAAATATAGAAGTAGAAAACTTTAGTTATATTGGTAGAATGGCTATAACTTGAGGGCATAGTAGATTGGACCTCTGACTAAAAGAGCCTTCCAGTCCTTTTTGCCCAAATTAAGCTTACCCATCTAAGTATACACAGTGGGACACAATGCCCATTTCAAAAAGAATAAGATCTCTATAAATTAAAAAAAAAAGTCTTTGGGAATAAACTATAAAACCAATAGACCATGTTGATGATCAGAAGGATCAATTTAAAAGCAGAATAAGCAAAAGCATTTATTCCCACTGACATAACATTGTCCCCATTATTTTCTTCCCTTATGTGCTTTCCTGCTCCTTCTGCATCTAAATTCTTTTCATCCAAGAAAACTCTATTTAAATGTCCTTATTTGTGACACCGTTCCAAATTTCTCCAGTATACGCTTAGCTCTCCCATCTTGCACTCATAATGTTTACTATCTTATTGTTATTAATGAACTATTTCATTTTCTTTATTTATAAATTATCTATTGTTGTATAACAAATTATACCAAACCTTAGTTCATAAAACAATAAACACTTATAATTTTACACAGTTTCTGTAATTCGGAAAGGTGGAGGTGGCTTGCCTGGGTGCTTTTGGATCAAAGATCTCTTATGAGGTTCCAGTCAAGAGGCAGGCCAAGATTCCAGATATCTGAAGATTGACTTGGAGTGGAAGGTCTACTTCCAGGCTCTCTTGCGTGGTGCTTGGCTGGACTCAGTTCCTTGCTGGCTGTTGCTTCGTGGTCTCAGTTCCTATTCATGTGAGCCTCTCCGTAGGACTGCTTACAACATGGTGACCAGCTTTTCAAGACAGCGGCCTGTCTGAGAGAGAGAGGATTCCATAGTCTTTTATCACCTAAACTGAGAAGTGACATACCGTGATTTCTGCCTCATTCTATTGGTCACATAGACTAACTCTGGTACAATGAGGGAGGGAACTACTCATGTCATCAATACTAGGAGATGGGATCATTGGGGGCCATCAGGGAGACTGGCTACCACAGTGTGAAGATGTGTTTTCCAACATCAAGTATTATAGTGGAGCAGATCTGGACAGTGAAGGAAAAAATTTTCTCATTCTTTTTCTTTTTTCTTTTTTAAAGAGGCACTTCATAATATTTTTCATACTTTTTTTTTTGAGGGGTATGTTCTTCATTGATTAGACTCATTTTCCAAAGCTTGACTCAGAAATTAGATAATTAATTTTTAGAGATAAATAAAACATTGTGCCACAAAGCATAAAGTATTCACCTTAAATAGCAGAGTGAGACCCTTGGAAGTGTGCCAGTTGTTTCATTGAGGGAAAGTACACATAGAGTCTAGGAAAACATTTTCATCAGATGGACTCATCCTCAACTCTCTCTCTCTCTTTTTTTTTTTTTTTGCTGAGGAAGATTCACTCTGAGCTAACATCTGTCGCCAGTCTTCCTTTATTTTGTATGTGAGCTGCCACCACAGCTTGGCCACTGATAGACAAGTGGTGTAGGTCCATGCCCGGGAACTGAACCTGGACTGCTGAAGCAGAGTGCACCACCAGGGCTGGTCCTCCTCAACTTTCTTATTTGACAACATTGTAACATTAGATTGAATTTAACTTTCATCTTACTGTAATTTATTTTTCCACCTTTAACAATGACACCACTAGTTTCTATTTTTCTATTTCCAGTTTTCCTCACTTTTAGGATGTTCTTTCATTGTCTTTTCTCCACCCTCACTTTTACCCTAAGATGTGATATATATATATATTTTTTTTTTGTGAGGAAGATTAGCCCTGAGCTAACGTCTGTTGCCAATCCTCCTCTTTTTGCTGAGGAAGACTGGCCCTGGGCTAACATCCCTGCCCATCTTTTTCTACTTTATATGGGACGCTGCCACAGCGTGGCTCAATAAGCATTGTGTTGGTCTGTGCCCAGGATCTGAACCTGTGAACCCCAGGCCACTGATGTGGAGTATGCGAGCTTAACTGCTATGCCACTGGGTGGGCCCCGAGATGTGATATTTTTTAGAATTATATTTTTAGAAATTTTATCTTCTCACTATACACTCTTTTCCATTCACAATTTTGCAATTACAAAACAAAAACTGTAGCCAATGACTCTGTTAAGAAGCACATCAGACTTTTGTTAAAGGTCAATCACCCAAAGGCCACCCAGTTGCTGAGTAGGTCTATTCAAGTTGTGCGTTTCAGAACTTGGGAAATAACCACAGGATGGGTTCAGAGATCCAATGGGCTCACTGTGAGATAGACTTAAGCTAAAACTCCATTAAATATCTGACCCCCATAAGCCACTACTCTTACTTGTGGATCACAGCAATAGCTTATATTTCTTGAATCCTGCCTCAAGGGGACACGGATT